GCATAGCTGTTTTCCTATTTTGGTGTAGCATGTGTTTATTACCAGAGTTATATTTATAGAGGCTGTCAAATATTAATATGAACAGGGGAAAAACTTAGCTGACATCATGAAGAACGTTGAGTGCTCTTTCATAATCTTTACCAAAATATTCCAGTTTTGTGACCACGTTTACCCCAATTATGCACATATATAGACTTCCTTCCATTCCAGCAACTGGCCTGACTAAATGTCTTGAAGGACATGTAGAACCTTTCCATGTGGAGCAAACATATGGAACCTCTGCCTTCCAAATATTGTTGGACCCATAAACTCTAGCTGGCATTCCTAGCCATCAGAGGTGTTAGAAGGTGTAGTCCTGTGACATCTGGCAGGAAACCTCTGTCCCACGATAACTAACATCTGTTCCAAACATATATGTAGACTTTGCTAAAGACTCCTGCCTCCTTTTTTCAGTTTTTAGGTTGCATTGCTTATAACCCTTAAAGCTACCAATATACATTTGGAGGTGGTAGTATAGGCAAGAGCAAATTTCACCCTTCCAGGTGTTTTGGACTTCAACTCCCATAATTCCTAACAGCTGGAGGGCCAAAGTTTGCCCATGCCTGAGGTAGCAGAAACATCTGCCACAGTTCTCAATTTGTCTGTCCCCACTTCCAGATCTGTCCGCATAATATATATAAAAAGACAGGAAGGAGGATCTTTGAGAAAGATTTTTCTGCCACTGTAAAAGTTCTTGATGTTACCATCATCTTTTGTTATAACAATTGCAGCATTAGATTATTGCTTGATCTTCCTGCTTCTTTTCTGAAATGTCTTTCATTTGTTTTGTACTCTTTTACTTGCTGGATCTATCATTCCCACAAGTTTGATCCCCCTTCTTCTCTTCTTTTGTTCGTTCCACTGGCTTTCTCTTTCTTCTTACATTTTCCTTTTATTTTTGTTTCCCCAGCACCATGTGTTCTTATCTGTAGAATCACCTCTTTCATAGCTTGGTTGTGCCCTTTTTAAACCACTCCCTGTCTACCAGCAATGCAGGCAGAAAACACATATGGATTCTCATTTCAAGAGCTTCCTTTCTTCATATTGAAGCAAGATCTTAGATTTAAAGCACACCTAGAATAATAGAATCATAGAGTTGGAAGAGCCTTTGTGGGCCATCCAGTCCAACCCCTGCCAAGGAAAATCACATTCAAAGCACCCGGACAGATGGCCATCCAGCCTCTGTTTAAAAGTCTCCAAAGAAGGAGCCTCCACCACACTCCAAGGAAGAGAGTTCCACTGCTGCTCCTAAAGAATGAATCCTGTTCCACAAACAAGGAGCCAAGGAATTCATTTGTCTGTGTCCCTCTAAACAAGAAACATCTGGCCATACAAATACTTCTGGCGGGGACAAGAGACAGGGCCTTCTCGGCTATAGACCCCCGCCTGTGGAACTCGCTTCATCCCTCCTTTCTTTTAGGAAGGAATTGAAGTCATGGTTCTGGGACCAGGCTTTTGGACAGCAGGCATAAATAGAGCTTTGGATATGGAATTTGTCTGGAATGGTGATGTGGCGGATAATACTGTTTTTATTGTTTTAATTAATGTTCTATTTATTGTTTTAATTGTTGTTATACTGTTTTGTTATATTTAATGGCATCAAATTGTGCCAAATGTAAGCCGTCCTGAGTCCCCCTTAGAAGGTTGAGAATGACGAGGTACAAATGCTGGAAATAAATAAATAAAATAAAAGACAGTAATAGGGTGGAGTCAGGACTCACAGCATTAAAGACCCAGAACTTATCAATCAAGATTTTAGCTGCTTTTAACCACAATAGATGAGATGGAAATGAATGTTCCTGGCAATGGTATGTTATGAGTGATCCCTTATGTAATCCTGGTCTTGGATGGACAAGAGTTGTTAGCTTTCCAAAGAACACCACTAATGCTATAGTAGTTGGAGAAATAAATCTGAGAGGATGAGGTTTCTTGCACTTGTCTCCATCTTGATGCCACTGTTAATGCAGAGTCAAGGGATATTTCGTGATCACTATCCAGCCAGGTTTTAGAGCAGTGATTTCCTAACTTTGGTCCTTCAAGTGCTTTGGGCTTCAGCTTCCAGAAGTCCTACCTGAATCAGCCAACATTCAGGTATTCTGGAAGCTGAAGTCTAAAACATCTGTAGAACCAAAGTTTGGGAATCACTGTTCTAGGATCCTCTCCAGCTGATGTAGCATGAGGTTGTAGGTAGGATGCTTGCACAGTGGACACATGTTGGTTTTGTTCAGTGTGCCCACTCTACTAGGGACTAAAATATGAAACTACAATCAAGAAAGCAGCAGGTCAGAGAAGACAAGAAGTAGCATCCAAGGGAACTCTGTCTTCATGTCTCCACCTCTCCTGTAGCTCCATAGCAGCTTGTACACATAAGGAAAACACCTTTCTGTAGGAGGAATACATTTCTCTTCCCTTTTAATAAGACCAACCTTCGTTTTCATAGTCCACGAAGGAATGACTGACTTTTCACAATGACTGGATGCAGTGACAGCTGCCAACAGGAGCAAATTCTTGGCAGATTGTTGTGATCTGCCATGAATTCGGCTGCTCGTTGTGATCGATATATTGGCTCTGCAATACCAAAGGTAACATGCTTCTAAGTGTCATTTCTTTCAGAGCATAGGTGGGTGGGGAGTGTCTCTTGTCTGGCTCGGGGGCTTTCCATGGTGTACTGGTTGTTAGTTCATCATGTGAATTCTGCATTAGATGGGCCTTTGTTTTGCACTGGCGCAGATTTCGTACAAAGCATCTGAGAGCTGAATGTGAGCAGAGAAATAAAAATGGTAGTGGGGTGGGATGGGGTAGACATTAATGTTGTTGTTTATTCATTCAGTCGCTTCCAACTCATGGACCAGCCCACGCCAGAGCTTCCTGCCAGCCATGGCCACACCCAGCTCCTTCAGAGTCAAGTCAGTCACTTCAAGGATGCCATCCATCCATCTTGCCCTTGGTCGGCCCCTCTTCCTTTTTCCTTCCATTTTTCCAAGCACCATTGTCTTCTCTAAGCTTTCCTGTCTTCTCATTGTGTGGCCAAAGTACTTCAACTTTGCCTCTAATATCCTTCCCTCCAATGAGCAGTCGGGCTTTATTTCCTGAAATATGGACTGACTGGATCTTCCCACAGTCCAAGTCACTCTCAGAATTTTCCTCCAACACCACAATTCAAAAGCATATATCTTCCTTCACTCAGTCTTCCTTATGGTTCAGCTCTCACTGCCGTAGGTTACTTCTGATTTCCTGGCTGCAGTTCTGTGACTGCAGTAATCTTCGTGCCTAGAAATGCAAAGTCTGTCACTGCCTCCACGTTTTCTCTCTCTATTTGTCAGTTATCAATCAGTCCAGTTGCCAGAATCTTGTTTTATGTTTAACCGCAATCCAGCTTTTGCACTTTCTTCTTTCACCTTGATTAGAATAAAATGGGTAAAATGGGGTGGGGGGAGGGAGAAAAACAGTGGTTACAAAAAACTGTCTGTCCCTAAGAGCTTACAATCTTTTTTAACCGTTAAGAAAGCAAAGGACGGCAAAAAGAGGCGAGAGAGGGGAGAGATAAGTGTAACATATTGGTGAAAATTGTAGAGGCTGCAATTTCCTATCCGCCGAAATGCTCTGATGTTTTACTGGCAAATATGGTGTGTTCAATACTTGCTGCAATCTAATAGTGCAGGGAGTGGTTTTATTTTTTGTAGATGATTTTCTAACAGGCCACAGACTAGAACTCGTAGTCATGAGTTCAAGACAAGGTGGGTATCCCTTTGTCCTTGGGCCACCTGGTCCCAGCAGCAGGCGTGACATTTAGCTGCAGTAACACTGATGATGGAAGAGGGCAGACTGCTTGTACGTTTCCATCCTCAGTAAATTAACTAAGGAGCAAGACTGATGGAACTGAGGGCAGGAGAGATAGGAGCGATGCCTAAGCCAGCTATTCTGGCTGATATAGAACTGTGGCTGGTGAGCTGCAGGACAAAGAATAGGGAGGGGGACATATATATGGCAGGGGCATAGGAGGAGAAATCAGCATTGGTATCGTATTTGCAGTTTCATGTTTGCCTAGATTCACATCTTTTCAAGTTAGGGGAGGGAGTGTTCTATGCAGTCTCTGTTGATATGCTGCCATCACCACCATCTATATTACCACTGCCTTTCTCTGCCTTTTAATAGTGAAATGCCTTTCTCCAATCTATCGTGCAGCAAGACTGAAGATGGGGAAAGAGAAGGGGAAGGGAGAGGGAGAGGCCATGCATGGCAGGGGCTAATCAGCCAGAGATGACTCCTATTTACACCAATGAAACCACTGTGTTATTTTTCATACTTTTTTCTGACCTTAAAGATCAGAGAGTCCTAACCATGCTGTTTTACCAAGGGAGTAAAAGCACTAGTCCTGCTGGACTGGCATACTTGGAAAAGGAGGGAGGGAGGGAGGGAGAGAGAACCACAGACACTGGGAAGGGAGCTGTCAGCCTTCATTATTAATATCCCACTGTTAATATTTAATGTCATAAAACTGCAGCTCCCTCCGCAGCAGAATCATCAGACATGCAGGGGTCATACCAACCGAAATTCTTTAGACAGAAGATTCAGTGTCCCTGTTCGTGCTTCATGCCAGGACTGCTAAAGATGTTCGAGATGGCGATGATATGGTGGAAAGCTTAATCACGCCTTTCAAAATATATACATGTATTTAAAAAACATAAAAGGGGGAGGGGAAAAGAGGTTATGTTATGTTTGCAGGAAATGAGCGCTCTGAACTCAGCATTCATTCTGTGAATCATTATAATCATTTGTCATCGTAGCTACGCTTTTCTGTAGACAGAGTGTTTTACAATTATTATCCCATTTGAAATCACTGCACCCTGGGAGGTAGATGAAGGCTGAATCTCAAGACACATAAACCTAGGGCCAAAGGGACTTGCACATTTTCAAGCATCATTGGTGATATTCTGATGTTGGTTCCCTTTTCTCTGCAGTTTGCCCACCTCACTGCTGCCTCCTTTGTTATCCTACTGTTCTTGAGGTGAGAATTCAAGTCGCTTCTGACTTTACAGAAACCCTAAGGTGAGTCTGTCATGGCTTTTTCTTGATAAGATTTATTCGGAATGGACTTGAGGCTGAGAGAATGTGATTTGCTTGAACTCACCGAGGGATTGCCATGCCCCAAGATTCAAACCCTGATCTCCAGAATCATAGTCCCAGACCTCAGATTAATATACCGCACTGAGCCTCATCCTTATCTTTGATTAAATGGATAAAGAGCGAGAACTCTTAGAACCACCAGTTCCTTTTTCCCTCACCTTCTCTGGCCTGCAGCAAAATGTTAGTCTCCAGAAGATATTTGAAATATGTGTCAGTTTTGACTTTGTCAGGGTCTTCTTGTTGTTTTAATCTGTTATGAGTATGTACAGCAGATATGGTTACCAGGGGAAAAAATAGGAAAAAATCAAACAAATTAGGTCTTTCTATACTGGCAAGGTTTTCTAGAACTTCGTCAACTGTGCTGGGCATGAGAGAGGTGGGAGAGAAAGACTGAAGGACAGTGTGTAAAAATGCTTTCCGGTTTGAAAAGACAGAAATTTAGTGAAACAACCATGCCTATTCTTGGAGGTCAAAGAGATACTTTGTGCAGAATGTATGGAAAACCATTCACACACAAATGCACATACAATAGGAGGGGGATGGAGGACCAAACTTCTGCTACCAACATACATCTGTTCAGATACAATTGAGAAATATATCAGCTGTTGAATCACCATTAAATATCCACCTTCTGGCATGCCCATCAGTAAGCCTCTTGATAGAGGTACATATGAAACCCATCACCATGCTGGCGGTCTTCTTTACCATATGCAAGAATAGCACATAGATTGATGTTGCAGAAAAGTATTAAAAACATCAGGGCAGCACTAACATAGTCAGGCACTTCCAGATTACAATCCAATATCCATTGCATTGAGCAGTGGGTCCCAACCTTTTTTTGATCAGGGACCACTTCACCAGGGACTACTTGACTGGGACCACTTTGACCACGGATCACTCTCCAACATTAGTCCCAAAAGGGTTACGAATCAGTTTTTGGTCAACTTTAGATTTGGGCTGGGGTCCTGATTCAGATAATTACATTGGATAGACCACATCAGCTCTAGTTTCTGATTCAGAACATATGCCATGGTCAGTGACAGGGGAGGAGGGACTAGTGGCATGAAAGGAGCAGAAATTAATTAAATAAAATATTTATTTATTTACGTTATTTGTATACCGCACTCTCTCAGCCCGTAGGCGAAATATAATAAAATAAAGAGGAAGGAGGCTGGCGGACCAAATTTTCATCCTCGTGGTCCACTGGTGGTCTGTGGCCCACAGGTTAAGAACCACTAGCATAGAGCAACATTTTCAAACCAGCCCTGCAAAGCTTTGAAATGTTCTGAAGCCAAAGTCGGTGGCCCGCATCGCAAAGTTGGAAAAGGCAAAAGCCAAGGAATTGGCCACAAAGCTCAGGTAGAGGCAGCCGAGTGGACCTTCATTGTGTTTTTTTCTGTACTTACAAATAAAAAACCTGGACAGAAAAAAAAAGAAAATAGCTATGCTGTGGAGTGCCATAGTGCAGCAAAAATGTGGCACAGACAAGGATGCATTTTTTAAGCCTCATTCATGCATTGTTTTGTCCCGAAGTTGAGCACAACCAAATAGAAAGCCAATCCTTTTATTTTGCAGGCAGGGAAGGGAAGGAAATGCCCTTGATTCTCCCTGGATGGATGCAGGAGTGAAGGGTTCTGCTTCAGAGAAAGGTCACATACACAAAAGTGCTGTTCCTGCAGGCTAGGTTGCATGCCTCTAGCTAGGAGACTGAGCAGCGCATCACCTTACTTGGCTTTCTGCCCGGGATGGAGACCAAGTCCACCTCACGGTATTGACTCTTCCTCCTTGCAGCATGCCGTGCTTTTGCCAATGTGCTACTAAGCTACCTGGCAGTGCTCATTCTTTTCAAATGTCTTCTCACTCCTTTGAGGGCAGAGATACAGCCTCCACTCCAAGAGTGTGCATAGTTGTTAGGGAGGGGATTGCTAAATGGCATATAAGCAGAGTGATGTTTTTAATAGAAATCAAGCATGTTCCTGTCCGCATCTGTTTCCCTACCACCAATTCCCTGTAAGGAGAGCAAAAGGCAATTCTTGGACTAGATCCAGATTTGGGGGGGGGGGGGCTCTGAAGGAGAAGATAAAACAGAATTATTATTTGGGGGATAGCATCCTCATTTTGCCTTTTTTGTCCCTGTAGTTACACCTCTGATTCCACTCTACCTCGCACCAAAGCCTATTCCACTCACTTGAGAAAATGCACTTTTCTGAATTGTAATTCTTGAGGATCTCCCAGCCACCATGGCCAGGGACTTCCTGATCCTCTGTGTAGCATGTGAGGGTATGAGGTGGGAAAACACTGCTAGGACTAATAGAAAGAGGCAGTTGTGTGCTGCTAAATCAATACAGCAACTTACTACATGTTCTGTATTATTTTAATACCTCGCCTATATTAATTAGTGGCTTGTGCCCTGCTCCTGAGCTTCCTATATATCCTAAATGAGCCTCTCTTGGAACTAACCTTTGGACTCATCTAGCAAAAGAGGTAATATGCTCTTATGGACATTTTCAATGTATTTATTTTTTAGTGCTTTGCCATTCATATAGTGATGGTTTCCAGTGGTTCTCAACCAATGGATCCCCAGGTGTTTTGGCTGTCAATTCCCAGAAATTCTAACAGCTGGTAAACTGGCTGGGATTTCTGGGAGTTGTAGGCCAAAACACCTGGGAATCATAGGTTGAGAACCACTTATCAAGTTTTTATTCATGAATTCTCCCAGTTTTAAGTCTAGGGAGCCAAGTTTGTGAACCAAAGAATTGGCCAATGGCTATTCATTACACAGACAAGGTTAAACTTTTAGTGTTACTTTGAAAGAGAGGTGAAGAGAATTTGGTTTCAGGTTCTCTAGGATGAAATCCAGCATCATTATCCCACTGAGTCATTTTGCCTAGTGGGATAATGTCTACACTGTAAGCAAGATGAAATGTGTGTGTTGGCGGGCACAAAAACTGTGTCTGTATTAAAAGGGAATGTCCCTGTTTAGTGATCTTCAAGATAAATACATTCTTTCTCTAACTTTCACTCATACACATATACCCAAACCCTGATTAGAAACTGTTAATCTGAAAGTATCTTAACTTAGGGAAAGCAGCAACTTCTGAGTAGGACTCCAAAGTAGGCCAATAGGAGTACTTCACCAGTTAATTATAGTAAATATTTACATAATGGCAGGGCTCCTCGAATTTAGCAAGAAGAGTTAATGCAAGGACGTGCCCTTTAACTATCCCATTTTATTGCCTGAACCACTAGGGAGCCCAACACACTAAGATTTGCAAATGAAGTGTTTGATATTGGCTGAGACATTAAATTACTTATCCAGTGCTATAAAATGCATAGGTGTAGTATATCATCCCTGCGCAGAAATTTCATTTCCACATTTCCCAGTTAACTCTTCCCTGGCATTTCACACAAAGTTCCAAAACTTGGAGGAAGAGTGTGAAAAAACTCTGAGAAATCATCTCAGGCTTATTTCCAATGTGACTGATTTTGTTTTTGCATCTTGTTATGTGGTGAAATGGAAGTGCTTTTTTAGTAGTAACATCCATCTTGTGATATTTCCTGAAAGGTTGTCTGTCATCCTTAAGGAGACACAAAAATAGGTTTCAAAATTTCACGTCAGAAGCAACTTGAGAAACTGCAAGTCGCTTCTGGTGTGAGAGAATTGGCCGGCTGCAAGGACACCCTGGATGTTTTATCATCCCGTGGGAGGCTTCTCTTGTGTCCCCACATGGAAAGCTGGAGATGACAATAGGTAAATAAATGTATCTTTATATCAACTTGTACAGGAGTTGATATAAAGATGTAAGATCTGTTTTTCAGTATCTGAAAAGCCTTCAAGGTGTTATGCATTTTTTACTGGGAACCATTTCTGGTTACAGTGATGCAGTGGTCATTGCTTAAACTCTGAATCAGTTAAGTTCCTTTTAAGAAGGGCCAGCAATTTTATGGATTCAGGCAACTTAGAACCCTTATAGGGCTCTGCCATTTTTGGATGCCCCATGAAAACTTCAGTTTCATAACTACCACACAATATGCCCTTGTTGCAGTTGTTGTTGATATTCAGCTGTGACCATGACCAATCTCTATGGTGCAGGATGATGCTATAGTGTCTTCCTCTACCATAGAGTCCTTTGTTACGCTGTAGGGCAACGCATCATTTTCCCTTCCTAAAGTGACAAGAAGGGCAAGTAAGGATTCCAGCAATAGGGTTACCAAATATTTATTTATTTATTTATTTATTTATTTATTTATTTATTTATTTGCTGAATTTATATATCACTTTTTTCACCCCAAAAGGACTCAAAGCAGTTTCCGACATAATGCTGGCAAAATTCAATGCCATATATACATGTGAAAACCAAAAACATAATTTCTGCACGATGTTGTTATTGTTCATTTGTTCAGTTGTTTCCGACTCTTTGTGACCTCCTGGACCAGCCCTCGCCAGAGGTCCCTGTCAGCCGTCACCTCCCCCAGCTCCTTCAGAGTCAAGCCAGTCACTTCAAGGATGCCATCCATCCATCTTGCCCTTGGTCGGCCCTTCTTCCTTTTTCCTTCTATCTATATAAATAATAATATAATGTTCATTTCTGGGATTAACATAACTCAAAACCCAATGGACAAATTGACACCAAATTTGGACACAATACATCTATCAGACCAACAAGTGACCATCACTCATAAAACTCTGAAAAACACAGCAGAAGAGACTTGAAAAGCCAAAAAACCCAAAAAATCACAACATATATGCAAAACCATACACACACACACAAATATACACAAATATATACACACACAAAACACATATACACACTGGGCCACAGCAACACGTGGCAGGGGACAGCTAGTATACCATAAATCAAGACCCATGACTCTGGTTTGGCCAGGCTTTTCCTATACCCTAGACAGGATATTTGGTTCCT